GAGCAAGAAATGCCAGGCTTCCTACGGTTTATCGCTGAATCACATGAACTGCACGCATTAGACATGTCTATACATTATTTCCCAAACAAAATTAAATTAGTTTAGTTCATTTATAATAATTTTACACACAAACGATCCCACTTGTAAGCAATAATTGCAGTTACTGCTTCCAGATGTTGGTTTGTACCTCCTCTATACCCTAGCCTATTTAACCATAGTTAAGCTTTATTGCACTGGACACTAGATGGTCCCTTTTTCGATTTCTCACCCGGTCACTTGATTGCGACTGAATAATTTGTACTTATTTCACTTTGATACACTGTACTTTTTTATTAATATCTAGTTTCGTATTATTTTTAGTCTGTATTGGGTTTTATATGTTTTCCGTACTCTCCTCTCGTTTTGTCCGATTTTTTATATGTTATCTTGAAACGATTTTATTGCATTTTAGGCTGGAGCGACATGCTATACGTCCGTTCTCTACCACTACTACACACTCTTAGTTTGTCCAATATACTTTTGATTATAGTCTTTACAGCCAACTTCGTAAATCCCCGACTTTTCATTTCTTTCAATTTTGTTTTTTGGATTGCTTAATACTAACTGTAGTTTATTTTGCAGGTGTCATACCTATATCTTTAAAAAATCTATCAGTACCATGGATGAATCGAGGATCGTATGGATTCAATACAAATTTCGGATTTTCTCTTTCATTTTTAAAGGTCGAGGAATTTCAAGGTTTCTTTTTAAATTTGTGCTTCCTAATTATTTTATCAACTAAAGTTACAGAATATTACTCCTTATTGAGGAAGAAGCTTAATAGATAATGAACAAGGATATTAAAACTCGCAATTTTGTGTGGAGCACAATGGTGAGAATTCTTACAAATATATCTTAAAGAACTTTTTCCTTTTCTGTATATGTCAAATTCTAACTTATTTTCATTATTTATAATTATTATTAATACATCTATAAATGGTAGTTGTCTACAGTTTTCAACTTCATATGTGAATTTAACTGACAAGAAACGGCTATTTAATAATAAAGTTTTCAATACCAGTGATTTTTGTATTAAACATTACAAAAATATCATCCACAGATGTAAGCCAAACCCTTGGAAAATACTCGAATTCTTCTTTTGCTTCCATTTCGAATCTGTTCATAAAGAGACTGGCAATAAATGGTGACATTGCTATGAAAAAAATCATAATTGAATCGAAAGCAATTTTGATTCATGCAAAGTTTAGTGCGTTGAATATACAGGGTGAGTTCTAACTTATTTTATTAAATTTAAGGGATGGTAGATCCCTTAATGGTAAGTTTATATAAAAAAAATAAAAAATCTGTGTGCTATAGTTTCGGAGAAAAACAAAATTACTTCAACATTTTGAGATCCTATTAACTGACCTATCTCAACCGAAAAGAAATTAAAATAGGTTCTGTGACTACGACATTGACCTTGTTTTTGACAATAATTGGTTCACCACTTTTTGTCACTACTTGTCTCCGATGGTATTTTTTTAACATAATCCTTTCAAACGCGCTGACCATTGATCTCGACGTAAATGAAAATCGGTAATAATGAATGCCGTCCACTAACGGAGCCGACCTGAAATGAATTTATGGATTTTTTTTCCTGTTAATAATTAAATGTAATACATTTTTGCAGAGTTCAGTGCACTTTATCGCCGTGAACCTACTGCTCCTTACGCTTTTTTGTGATTTTTCTATGACGAATTAAATAGGAAGGGGATGAAATTATGCTATTTTTTGCTAAACGTTCAGTTACGTTATTGTTAGTGATTGAAAAGGTTATTATTTTTTTATTTAATTTTTGAGAATGTACGTAGAAATTGGATAAGAAGGGCTCAACTATGTGTGTATGTTGGTGGTGACAATTTTGAACACTTATTGTAATATGGCTACCCCTGTGACTACCTAATAAATTAAAAAAATTGTCAAGTGTTAAAAAATGATGAATTATGAAACTAATTAAATTAAAATAAGTTTTATAAATTGATAGTGAAAATAATTGCTATTGTGAAATGTGAGTCCTGAATATGCCTCTGTCTCCATATTCGTACGTGGTCTAATATTAAAGCCCACTGAATAGCCATTTACACGCTTTTTGAGAAGTTTTTTTTTATGATTTATCATTTGAACTAAAAAACTGGAGTAGGATAACTTTGTCGGTGATTTTCTGACGTTTTTTGTGTAATTGCAATTTACAACGAACTTAGATAAAAAATCATGTTGTTCGCATCATAAGTGGATTAGATGAGCAATGCAGCAGTCCACAAAAGTTTAACAGTATTATAGGTAAGGTAGGTCAGTTTTTTCAACTTTCTCTTTCATTTATTTTTTTTTTGCAATTCGTGTTACTAATATCAACAGGAACCCCCTCCTAAAATTACACATATAAGTTGGCGTTCACCCTGTATATTCCTTTACTACATCTTGATTGAGATTGTTTGAATCGAGTAAATATTCAAGGTCAATTTCAGCCTCTTGTAACTGGATAATTTTCACCTTATTTATGATACCATTGGAGTTAGTTATAGAGAAACTAGGGTGTAATGTACGCCAGCCTACCACCTATCAAATTGGTTAACATGGGAGTTTTACTCATTGCACCACCTAGTTAGTGGTTATTTCCAATGATTTCATTAATAAAGTTAAAAGTATCCAGTTGCAGGAAGGTGAAATTTTGATCTCCTTTGACGGTTGTTCATTGTTTCTAAGTGTTCCAATACCACAGACCTTGAACCACCAGAACTAATCCCTACGGCCAAAAATATAAAAATAATCAGTATGTCCGAAAAACAGAATTGAATGCTATCAGTTATTTATTATATAATATAAGAGATATGTTGTTTTCCCTCTTTTTACTTTATGGTCTATAGACACCCGACACTTCTGAAGAAACGTTTCTTAGTTTCTAATGGTCCTCTGTACGATATTTCTCTCTTAGCTTATTAATAGAGCTGTCCGATGTGCCTGGAGTACAGCCACGGTCTTGCGCTGTCGTCACACGTGCCGATTTAGAAGTGATTTACGCTGCAGTTTTATTTGAAAGGTTAATGCGTGAGGTTGTACCTATAAATTATACATAATGTCAAACGCGCCAAAGGGTAAAAAACGACCGTACGCGGACACAGTGAATAAATTTATGCAAAATAATTTGTAAAGTTTGCAATCAAGACTTAATGTGCTGGCACAAAACAGATTGTCGTCGTCATATCAATACCGTGCAACATCAAAATAAAAAAATGGCATGCCTTTGGCAACTCAGTTTATGTTTGATTTATTGTTAATGTCAATAGCCTGTAATATTCCGCTACACATACTGGATAAACAACCATTTCGGGAGTTTTGGAATAAATACAATCCCCAGGTGAACTTACCAAGTCGTACATCGTTATGTAGATATATTTCAGCTGTTCGTGAAGACATTGTAAATAGGATTAAATGTGGATTAAAAAAATATACGGCTCTGGTTATGTATTGACGAGACGACAGATTGTAAAAAAAAATTCTATTTTAAATATTATAGTACGTGTACTGGACCCTGTTAAACCAACATTTCCACGGCTTTTTATTATGCTGAATATTTTCAACAAATAAAAGCTGTGATACTACAGTTCAACCCTAACGAGGCTGCAGCTATTAGGGAAAGCCAGACAAGCTTTCAAGGCGTTTCCCTTGAAACAGATTTAAAAAGTATTAATAACAATTATAGGGGACTACACGACGCAATAGAAAAATTGCAAAATAGTTCGTTGTCGTTAGTGGAATCGCTGCAAATAGTGGACGACGTAAAAACACAGCTACAGGCTATAAATGACGCAAAAAATAATCGCGTTAGTGAAAAATTCGAGAGTGTATTACAGAAAGATCCTGATTTTAGCAAATTAAGACAAATTTGTGATGGTGCATCTACAACTTCGTTAAGTGAGTTCACAGATTGTTTTACTTATGCCTGTATTACATCCGTAGATGTCGAACGGTCATTTTCAAAATACAAACATATTTTTTCACCAAAGCGAATATCGCTGACAGAGACAGCTGTAGAAACATACCTGATGCTATTATACTATAGATCTTCCCGACTTTGTGATGACGACAACCAAACTACTTCATAAATCTGTTTAAAAGGGTGAGTTTTATACAAATTTTTATAAAATGTAACATTATTGTTAAAATTTATTTCCATTTAATATACTTATTCAAGTATTATGATGTGATGTAAACATATGAGTCATATGACGGCTCTGGCGGCCAGGTGACCTCGGACAGCTCTACTTATTAATTAGAGCATACAATATTTTAAATAAAAATAACTATTATATAATAATTTTCAAATAACGAGATATATTCATTAATAAAATGTTGTAAAAGAATATAACGATATAAAGCGTTATGTTTTCACGCATCTATTTTCGAATTTTTGTCTTCTTACTTATTTAATAAATTGTAATAAAAGTAGATGCAGTATAAACTTGATCGTGTCAGTTATTTAAAGAAACTAATACGATGTAGCGGAAGACATAGAAAAAGAACTACGGAAATCGTTGAAAACTAAGACGTGGAGTCAAGTTCATTCGTATTACCCAGAAAATTATTAAAAAATGCATCCGTTGTATAATCGTCAAATGTGTAAAAATGTATACGGGACCAATGTGCCTATATTATCAATTCGAATTAAAGCTGCCTAGTATCAGTAGGAATTTTTGTGTTATAAATATTACCAGGTGGGTTTTGTTTTAATTAAATTAATTTGTTATCTCTCACTATTTTATGGTATACAATGTTCTTTCTACTATTACGCATTTAAAATTATATTTAGCCAAGTAACTGATATGTTATAAAAATAGGTACATTACACAATTATAGAAAAAAATATATTTTTAAGCAAACATACAAGAATTAATTCACAGAAATAAATATGGGTCGTTATTTAATTTAATAACAATAATAATTAAATCATATTGCATTATAGTGGCTTCGTGGTCGAGAGGTAAGCACATTTGCCTCTCATCTAGGAGTCCCTGGTTCGATCCCCGGTCGAGAAGCTAGGATTTTTTTCTAAATCAGAAATTAATCCTAGCATACTCGGACGTTGGATGTGTGTCCTTTGTCTCTAAATGTGTAATCCTCTCCCACACAAGGTACCTTCAGGAATATAGAAGGTTGTATTACCAGTGGTGTTTAATTTTAATTTTAATTTAATTTTAATATAAATTCGTACATACGGACGTACGTACTACGTATATGTATCAAATGTTGCAAAAGTTCTTATTTTGGTTAAAAGTGGTACGTCAATAGTTGCTCCTTCTATTTCCTTAAATTTTCTTAAATTAATGTAAATTTTATAAAAGCACATATTGATAGAAACAATTATGTACAACTTAGTTTTAATGAGTTAAGTAAAATGCGTGTTAATGTTAATTACCCCATAGACAACCGTATATTTCTAATCCACACCCAATACTCTTTTCAACGTACATGTATCTGATGTATAAATAATCCTATGACATTAATATTTCAAGAACCACTTTAAAAACCTCTTATCATTTTTTTTTCATATTTATTTCTGATTATTTAACACGATCCCATACATCATCTGGTGGCAACCTGGGGACGGGCACGAGTCCTAAGTTGTCAACCCTATCTGGTGAACGAACTCGATAGCAGTACAGGGTGTGCTACAACTGGTTTCGAATTTATTTCTAAGATATAAATACTTACTGCCAGTTTTTATCGAATACATGTTTCCTTCTTTATATTTTATAATAAGAAGATGTAATCGAATTTATTGAGTTTTTGAGAGTGTACAGGTTAAATCAAAAAAGTTTATAATAGAAAGACAAATGTGAGTAACAATATATACGAGTACATTAATTATGTTACACCAGATGATAATTAAAACTTTTAATACTTCACAGATTATAAGGAAAGTTTCTAGAGTAAAGGTACTCTTTTTATTGAATATTGATTCGTAAATAAGTTTAATGGTGTCCCGATGGAATTATTTTATTAAAAACCAAGTATTTTCCTCAGTTAATTTACTAACCTGCTGTTTACCGTTCAATATTTAAATTTTGTAGGAAAAAATTAACGACAAATTATTAACTTAGGTATACAGTTCATCACAATTTATATGCATTATTTATTAGATAACCGCAAGCAATTTGTAGACTTCTTTTATGTACGATGTTAACAACTGGCCGTGAATATTGGACTTTCTTATGGAATTGTCTTGGGTCCTCTTCATTTTATTTTATATACGAACGATTTACCTGTCAATATTTTTTATACTCTTATTGGTGATATATCAATCATTGTAAGTGAGAAACATTTAATGTGGGATAATTCATCATGAGTAAACATAGTCTTTGTGCTATTAAACAGAGTCATACGTTATATGTTTGGATTACAATATAGAGAATCGGTCACAACAACATTTATAAAAGAAATAGTTCTTAATTTACCGTGCCAACACGTTTTTGAAATTTTGAAATTAGTAAAATATAATGTAACCAATTTTAATTCTAATAAAGGTATAATAATAATAAAAATTAAAATACCGAATCATTCCAATAGAAAGGTGAGATTTACAAATAGTAATAAACACTCAAAGTATCACCTAAAATGCAAGGTACCAAAGTCGTAATACTCTCACTTTATTTAATTGAAGATTAAGTAAAATTGCCACAAACACTCTTTGATGATTTATAAATTTGTATCATAAAAAGATAAATGATTAAGCTTTGATTGCGATTTCCCACTAGCAGAGACAACCACGAGACATTCAAGTACATATAAAAATGTGTTCAGTTTTAGGTATAATTACTGCATACTTCCATCCTTGTTGTACATAGGTGTTTCACAATTAATCTATCTTTGTTGCAGTTTAGGAAGATTTTCGTAGATGCCGCTGGCAGCACAGGAAACGTCATCGTTGATGTTGGATCTGGTCGCCATATTGTTTGTTTTGATACTGATATTGTGTGGTGTGTCGTTTTTTAATTTATATTGGATTACAAACTGTAAAATACTGTGACTTTTAAATACTATTTTATTTGAACTTTTTATTAGTGTTAGTATAGTATATAATTTTATTATAACCATACTACAAAAACATTGTCTAATTTGTGGATTCAATGTAGAACAGGTGGAAGAAATTCACTATTTTCCAGTCAATGACCAAAAGTAAGTTTGTGTTTTGTGTTTTAAAGATATTTAAATGAAATTGTTTCCTACTGTTAGGTCCAAAATTCGGCAAGAAAGGATGGGAATAAAATGTGTTCCTGTGATGTATCACTACACACACCTTCTGCTATAAACCCAAGATTTCTGTTATTGTCACTGAATTCTTCGATAATATGAACTTCTCAAGATATTCCCGTTCTGACCATTATGAAATTGTAACCAGGGAGATCGTGAAAGTTGTGTGGAAAATTGGGATTCCTTGGAGGTGTGAAAGAGAAAACCAAGAAAACATCCAGAATCGTAAGGATGCAAAGAAATCTAAACATAAGCTGAGGACATTCCAGCATCGATAGTTGTTGATATGAGGTTTGTTCCAGCAGCAGTCAGAAACAGTTTGCAAACTATGAAATAAATAAATATGTTTTATTTTATTAGCTTCTTATGGCTTGATAACTTCAATGCTATTATTAATGTTTTTTTATAATTTCAAGTGTTGATGTTGCTTGAAATTGTAATATGTCGATATGCGCCTACCTAATATGTTTATATTTACCCAATAATTATTAATTAGGTATATAATTTATGTACCTACGAGCAAGTACTTCTTCGTTCTTGTGTAGGATATGTATATTTATTTGTAAAACCTATCGGTGTTTATAATATGTTTTGTTAATGTAAACTTTACCTAAGCAATTAAATATTATTACTATTCTATTTGTTAAAAGTATTGTTAAATTGCAGACCACATTGTATAAATATTGTGCAGCATTAATCGATGTTGATACATATATCTGGGATGTTGGGAAGCAAATGTACATTTTTCTTCCTTATTAGTAGGCTTATTTATATATTTTTTGTACTAGCCATATATGTTTTGTATTACAGAGGTACCTGTTGTTCAAGAAAGTACTGCCGTGTTAATTGAAAAGGGTGTATCTACAATTTTTGTAATTTTCTGATGAGGTGTTTATGAATACCTTTAATAGTTGACAGTTTAAGCTACATTTTCGTTACTCACACAAGTTGTAACTGCAAGTATTATAGTTGTAAAATACAAATAATTTTGGAAGAAGTAACCACGGATGGCTTAGTAATAAATATAAAAACGAAATTATCTCAAATCGAGCTACTTGCAGATACGCCCTTTTCAATTAATACGGCAATGTAATCGTTATTATTTAATTGTAAAATGCTTAATTTTTTGTTTAGCCATTTATTTTTCTGTGGTTTAGATTATTTAAAATATCTTCAAAATTATTGCATTCATTGTGGCTTGTTATTTTATTGATTTTCTATCAGTAAACGATTTATTTTACTTATTTTGTTTTATTTCTTCATTAAAATGTAATTGAAAATATAACAACCAACAAAACGCATCGCGCGCTTTTTTAAATCACGGCTCATCATCGCGCACGCCATCTATTGTCACCTTCCCAAACAGTAGACCAGTGCAATATTCCGAATAGAAACAATACATATACTTGAACGTCTCGTGGTTGTCTCTGCCACTAGTAAAAGATTTTTACTAGATTTTAGGATTTCCATTTATTTGGTAAAAATTTTTATTATTGGGCAATCGCAATTAAAACTTAATCACTTCTCTTTTTATGATACAAATTTATAAATCATCAAGAAGTGTGTGTGGTAACTTTATTTAATATCTAATTAAATAAAGTGAGAGGATTACGAATTTGGTACCTTGAATTTAGGTATTTGAATACTTATTACTATTATTACATTTTAATTCTTTAAATTAAATCACAACTATCAAACGCAGCACAGCTCCGATTTACAGCATGAAGTACACAGACTTGATGTTATAATCCAGGTTACATGGGTTTTGTTCTTTATAATAAACTCGGTACTGATTTAAGATATACCGGTAGTATAAAATTTTGTCAAAGTTGAAATTTGTTTCAAATTCTCTTTATCTTGTACATGAATTTTTAATGTATTAATTTATTGATTATTTGTTTACAGTACTGTGACAACTTTGTTGTAGTTTTCTGCTATTTTTTCTTTCTCTCAATATACCTAAGTTATCATATATCATGTATATGGTTTACTGGATAAATATATGTATTCCGTTCTGTTCTATTGACTATTATTTATCAGAAAATACACAAAACGTTGAGGAATCATTTTTTTATATTGGCTGTACCATGACAAATTTAATTGCATACGGATTCTGTAATACGATTCAACTTTCAATTTAAAAGCATTTTTAAGTTAATATTAAGTACAGAATTTATGTCTTCTAAAAATAAAAATTATTGTGATTTCACTATTATTGACGTCAAGGCCTACAATCAAGGCGGAGATTTTAAACAAAATAAAATAAACCTTACAGATTCATCGCTGAATTTAGGCCTCGAAGTTTAGTCGCAGGTTAACTATTAGTTATCAGTTAAATTGACGTGTTCTTCGAAATACAGTACGGTATTTAATTTAAATAGTAAAGATTTTAGACCGTCTAATTAATAGTTGGAAAAAGTTTTGTCGGGTAAGAGTCTTTATGTTGAGAAAAACTACTTCATCAACTTGCCGACGTTTCGGTAAATTTTATTCCCATCCTCAGGGTTAATTAGGAGTTTTTCCTTGTATAAATTTTATAGTGACCAGGAAGAGCTCATAATAATTTGCAACTTCAAAAATGTTCTAACCCAATACAAAATTATCTCTGTGGTCAATTGTCCTTAGATTAAAATTTGCATGGAAACGGCGCTGAGGCAGAATGACTATAGTCACTGTTCTTGAAAAAAGTTTTGTTGCAAACAGCTTCCTGTTTGTTTGACCATTTCGAGAATAAAATGGAAACTGCCAAGACTGATAAAATCGTCTTAAAGATATCTCCTTTTTTTTT